TTAAATATTTCTATAGAGATACTTTTTCTAACATTGTCGTTAATATGGATAGTATCAAGAAAAGAATCCAAATAATCAGGCTCTTAATTATGTTGCTTCCAGGGGATTTGGCAGCAATCTGTTTGGAGCCTCATATTAATCCATCAGGTAGCCCTTGAACTCTTATGTTTGGAAATGTGCTAAGAAATCTTCCTTGGAAATTAGGGGATGATGACATGTTGCCCTGTCATCACTCCCCTGCCTACGAGGTTCTCTATATTTTGGGGAAGAAAGGACAGGTTTGCTCTGCTCTGCTTAGGTTTGCATTGGCTTACACATCTGTCTTTAGAGATACGATTTCCTTGTGAATTTTATATTTGACTAGAACGGAACCAAATTTGGAAGTTGATATATTTTTATCTGAGAAAAAAAAACATGTATGCATGGTAACATTTTTTTAAAAAATGCATCTGCAGGGAAAATATTACAATATCACAGAAATTTTAATCTCCTTGAATATTTTTTTATGCTTTATTTTCAAGAAAAATTTGAACTTGATAATATTCTAAATATGTAACTTTGGAAGAAAATTTTTCACCATCTTTATCTCACAGTAAGTATTATTTTGAAAATTAGAGGGTTATATATCCATTCAAGAAGGCTTGGCATAATCGTAAAGCACTAGGCTACTAACAAAAATGCAGGTAGTTTGAAACCAGCATCTGATTCAGAAGATAAAGTGTGGCAGCCTGCATCAGTAGAGGTAGGGTGCCTTGGAAACCCTATGGTGGAGTTCACCTCCATGCTATAGGATCAATATGACTCAAAATCAACAGAAGGCAAGGCTTTGCATTGTTAGGTCAGATAAAAAAGAAAGGAAACATTATAAGAAGAATAGATAAAGATAGAGATATTTATGCCTGATCTTAAGTAATGTCATGATTTGTTGGAAAAAATATGTGGAGTTGAAGGGATGAGTAGTGCATAAGCAAAGTTAGTGTTCTGGATATTCAACTTTCTGAAGGAATTTTATTTTGGATAGTTAAATTAAGAAAGCAACATACCCTCTGACAATGAATATCCTGTAGTCTACAATTTGAGTCACAAAAATACAAGGTTTTCATGCAAAGCACATTTATAAATGAGTCAGTAAAGCCAATCACATAGGATACAGTGATGAGAGAGTGGCAGAGTGAACTGGACATAACAACTGGGTATTATAGAGGATTGCAAATAGCTACATAACGATCATAGGCCATTGAAGAGAGAAGTAAACATTCAGTGGCAGCCAGGGAGCCAAAGAAATACATTTGGGTATAACAGCCTCTGAATGAAATATACTTGTTGGAAGTCAGTAAGTTAGCTAAGGTTTTTGGGGTAAGCACTATTGAGTAACTGAAATCAAGGAGGAGAGATGACTGAGGAAAAAATACTATGTTCTCAGAGTATTTGCTCACCATATAGACCGAGTAAGCATGGTGAAAACATACTACCCTGATGCACACCATTCTTGATTTAAAACCATGCAGTATAACCTTGTTTTGCTAGAACAACTGCCTCTTGATCTATGCTCAGGTTTCTCATGAGCATGATTCAGTGTTCTGGGATTCCCATTTCATAAATTTTGAAAGCCTGAGAAAATAAAATATAAAATAAAAGACTAAATATTGAATATTCATTTCCAGAGAACATGTTGTTTTGTTAGGGCAAGGAATAACCATGAATAATTGGATTATCAATTATCCTCCTCCAAGGAGTAGGACTTACTTGGCTTTAAATAAGTGAAAATGAGGGTGCCATAGAAGATGGAGACCCCCAGGAGGTGGGAGGCACAGGTAGAGGAGGCTTTTCACTTGCCTGCTGTGGATTTGATTTTCAGGATAGTAGAGACAATGGATGCATAGGACAAAAGATGATTACAAGAGACACTAGTAGTGTACAGCCACCAATAATGAATGTTATGATCTCCACGTCATGTGTGTCAGTGCAAGACAGGACTATAATTGGGGTTGTGTCACAGAAAAAGTGATGGATTATATTGGAGTCACAGAAATGCAAGGTGTTCACAGCAATCACAATGACGAAGATTTCACTAAATGCAGTTACATAGGATGCAGTGATGAGGGAGCGACAAAGGGCCACAGACATAACAACTGGGTATAGTAGAGGATTGCAAATAGCTACATAGCGGTCATAGGCCATTGAAGACAAAAGAATGCATTCGGTAGCAGCCAAGGAGGCAAAAAAATACATCTGGGTGAAACAGGCACCAAATGAAATATCCTTGTTGGAAGTCAGTAAGTTTTCTAAGGTTTTAGGAGTAATGACTGTGGAGTAGCTGAGATCAAGGAAGGACAGATGACTGATGAAATAATACATGGGAGTGTGAAGCTGGAGATCCAAGCGGATTACTAGTAGCATCCCTGC